GATCTAGGATTCAAGAAGCAAGAGCTTCAAGAACACAAAAATGGGATTAGAGCTCTAAAAAGTAAAAGACAATAATTAAAAGAAACTAAAAACAAAAGTAATCTAAAGCTTGGTGGTTTTTTTTCGTGGCTTTTAGCCTTTAAATACAAGAGGATTTAGGTTTAGGGTCAAAGACAAGTCAAGGGGGAAGCAACATTTTTCGGGTTTGACTGTTGACTTCTCAGCTCGATCGAGTTGAAGCTTGGCCGGTCGAGTTGAGGAACTCGACCGGTTGGTCGAGTAGATGGGTCGAGCTGTCTTCAAGATGGCTTCCTTCTTCATCCTAAGCTTGTGCGGTTGAGCTGAATCCATGCACCAAGTCCTTCCTTGCTCCTCACGTCCCATATGCTCCAAAATGCTCCAAAAAGACCTATTTCAAAGGACCAAACATGCATATGTATGCAAATGTAACCTAAAACTACTATGAATGCATAAGAAGAGAAAAAGAACAAGATATAATGCTAATGGATGCTAAAACTATGCAAAAGATGCATAAAAGATGTACTAAAACCATACAAAATGCAAGTACATCAGAAACCTACATGAGTATGAATATCTCTTCTAACACAGGCCGATTATTATATGTTGTTGTCGAATTGCTGGGCCCAAATATTTAGTTAGTATTGTAGCAAGCCAAATTTGAAAATATTAATAAATTCAAATCGTTTAGATAATGTTAAACTACAATATACGCATATATCCAATCATGATTATAGGAGTTACGAGATTGATATGCACTTGCTATATAAGTTTTTAATAAAAATATATATTATTAATATATATGTTAGATTTACATTTATCCATCCGTTTGAAAACCCTACCAATCAATAGTACTTAAACAAATAGTAAAACGAGTATTTGTTTGCATTGCACAACATCTATATATCAAAATTCTGTGAAATCATAATAGATATTTTGTTTTCTCAATATGGCCTTGGTTGCGAGAACTCGATGCCAAGAGGAAATCTCACTCTGTTGTGTGCTGTGGAGAATAAAATAAATGGTGTTGATATACAATATTCACAACAAAAAGAAAAACGCAATGATATTCTGGGAACGACTAATGAAAACACTATGATTTCTGATTTAGATCCGGGTGTTGTTGGTCTGAGATAGTACCCTTCTATTGCTTTTGGTTGATAGTCAGGTATATTATTATAATTTTTTTTTTACATATCAACAGTATAATACTTCAATCTCTACCAAACTTACTGAGATCGTCTCATGTTTACTTAGGGCGTAAAAATTCAAGCTTTGATCGTCAAAGAACTGTGTGACGATTTCTCTTCTGGTATTACAGTTGATGCGTGGATGATAATCAGCGGTTTTCTGCTGCTCGATCAGGATGAATTTTTTACTCGAACGACAATGCATCGCTATAAAATAGTTTTCTCCAAATCGACCAGGATTGGTGATAGCCCTCATCGATGTTCAACATATTTTTTCTGAATTCATAGAATTTGAGAATGTTTTAGAACATGGTAAGAAAAACAACTATTTACTAGGTACGTAGAGCATGATGCGTACTTTTATATTTATGTCATTTGTGTTTATTATTTTGTTTCATAGTTTTGTGGCTGAATATGTCTTTTACTCGCTTGTAATAAGATTTGATAGGGGAAATAACGTATGTCGAGAATATTGATCGCAACTTCGACTATCATGACACTATACACAATGTTTACGGTAGCATCCAGGATGATTGTGTGCGATTCAGCATACGGAACGTGAGGTTCGTGTATTAATGACTGTTAAGTCGATTCCATCATTATCTTCTTTTCTTCCTTAATATATCTATTTCATTGTCTGACAAACAGAAATTATACGTTGGAGTGTGAGCTATTCGAAACTAGAGCTGCTGAATTTTACAAACACTAACTGGATAACAATGAAGAAAATATTGTGTATATTATGAGATGGCCGGCTCTGAGCGTATATGGAGGTAACTGAGGTTTTAGATTAGGCACTGTGTTTGGTCTTTATGATCACAATGATAAATTAGATGTTGTTTATCTTATTTAATTCAGGAGATTTGTATATTTCATGTAGCGGCCACACTCGGATAATGTTGGATCAGTCGAAAAAATCTTGACGTATGAACAAACCTTGAATTCAAACCTGGATCATTCTATTTCTTCAATTTTATCCTCCTTTCCCTAAATAAAAGAATCTAATTAGATTCGAGTTCACCAAATAAATATCTAGATGTTGGTATGCAAATCTGTTTGAATATGAAAGACTCGACTATTATCACAAATGACTTTCTGAACCGGAGATCGATAAATTTAATAAGTCGTGAGTTCTCTGTTATCGAATGAATATGCATAGTTTGTTTGCATATATTTCCTATAATTCTAACATGTGTTCAAAACATCGGTAATCGTTAATCGGGCAGTCGGGTCAGGATTTGGAATTTAAAAAAAAACGGAGATTAAGCGGGGATTAAACGGGGATGAAATTTTGACTATATTTTATATCTTTTCAAACATTTTCATATATAGAAACAAAATGTTATCTATTAAAATTGTTTTCTTTCCAAAACATTGTATCAATTATGCAAAATATGATAAAATCTCAAAGTTAAAAATTCTATAGGTCTTATTTTCGGAAATGACAATACATTGAGGGCAATTCTATAAATACTATATTCTCTCTCTCACACACACAATTATTTCATTTTAGAACTCAATTTTCTCAAAATTGCATTTTGGCCCTTCTGAGATCTCTTCTTCCTCCCGAAGAAACCTGCACAACGACGCCATTCTCGTCTTCGTCATAAACTTGTGCGGCGGCAATCTTCCACTGTTCGAGTCCAACCAATCTTCACCGTCTTTGTAATCGCCGTCGTCATCATCTATGCTTCTCCGGCGATTATCACGGCTATAGTTCACGGAGAATCTTCGACCATGACGCTACGACGCTGGAACGACGCCGGAACAACGCCGGAACAACGCCGGACGACGACAATACCACACGTGGACAGCAGCCCAAGTGAGATTGACCAAAAACATCGCCGATTTTGATTAATCTCACGGTTGCCCACCGTTGCCGATTTTTCCGACCGATGAATCCCTAAAAACGCCGTTTTTTAGAAACAGATTCTAACTATCAATATTTCATATATTGAAGGCTGCTTATCCGTAGAGAAAGCAAGTTATGAGTTCATCGACGCTCATCAATTGATGAGGACTTATGTAGTCAATCGAAGCGATCAACCAAAGACGAACGTATAAAATGTGTTTGTTCTTGTTAGTTTCTACTAGGTCTTACGAAATCAAGACCAACTAATAATAAAAAGGAGCTCCATCACTATTATGTCGATGCTTCTACTATAATGTTAGTGACTGACAGGTATGTGTGTCTCTCCTTCTTGAGATTCTCTTCTTTAATTATCTATTTTACAAGCGACATCAAAGGAAAAGAATTAACAACTCCAAATAAAGAGAGAGGGAACGACAAGAGAAGACAAATGAGCGACATACAAAAGAAATGAATAACATCTACATTAGAAAGGGAGCAAGGTCCGAAACAGCATTGACGAGCAACAACTGACGATTTGAAAAAATACGTTTTACTTAAGATTGGAGAGAATGAAGCTCGACGATTAAGAGAAAAAGGAAGAGGCACGACTAAACATGTTTGTCGCTGGTCACTCTCTAAATAAACAAACAACACAACTACATAATTAATGTACGTCGTTCCTCAATTTTAATAAAGTTACATGAGTGGTCAAGTACGACTTCTTTGGGACCCACATGGAAAAAAAAGGAAGGACGTACATGCTTCAAGAATAAAACTCTGTCATTGGTCATTGGAGAAAGAAGCTTGTCCATCTCCATTCTTAATCAATCCCACATGGATATTAAAATAAGGACGTCCCTCTTATTTTGCTTAGTTATTTCCACATGATTTAAAATAAGAGTTTGTCACTCGCATAAGCCATTGACGAACGAAGAAAAAAGGTATGTCTTTGGGATCTTTTATTTAAATTATATATTATGTTGTTCCATTGGTATGTGCATAGATAATATTTTAAAAGGGACCATGCCATTAGACGATATATGCTTTTTTGTACATCAACCTTAGTAAACGAACAACAGTCACAAGTGACATGAGCAAGCAACCGACGATATGAAAATGAAGTATTACTCTACAAATTCTAAACAAGAAATTGAAGAGTAGGGGGCAAGTTGTTGGGTGAAATAAATTCACTAGTCGGTCGCTCCTTAAACTCTATTATAAGCTGGAGATATGATCGACTGACGATGTGATCGACCTGTCAGTCCTACTGCTAGTTTCCTAAAAAGCCTCAAGCATCGACATATCTCTATAACGAGGTACGACCGACGATATTCATTAATGGTTTAGCAATGATAACAGTTTACCAACAACCCATGGTTTTATGTAATTTCCCAAGCCTATTGGAATTATGTAAAATGACCGACGTAACCTCCTAATTAAAAGGAAATTAAGAGGAACGACCGACAAGAGGAAATGGAATATTACGACCGACGTCAAAGCCCAACTCAACAAGGATTAGGATAGACAAGCACCTATAAATAAGAGGTCCCATAACAAGGACAAGGGAAAATCAATAAACACACAGAAACCCTAGTAACTACTTATTCTACGCCTCTCGACAAGCAGCGGCGAAGAACCTAGCAACGACGAACTACGATCTACGACGAGCGACAGACGAGATCCTCTTAGTTTAATCTTTGATATTGACTTGTTGTAGCTCGATATTCAATTGATTAATAAGATATCTTCTCCTGCGTCATTCCGTTTATTGTACTTGCGAACCGGTTAAATTTTGCCCAAACAGTCATGTAGCCTTAAGGTTTGCCCAAAAGAGAGAGATTTCTAGATTAAGAACATAAGCAAGAAGTATTAAGCTTAAAGATCCCCTAATCTAACCCATCTCAAACCCTAATGGGTAACTACTCACTACACATGATGAAATAAACAACCAAATGCATTGAAATAGACATCAAATGAAAGAGGAGATAAAGATAAACAACTTTTATTGAAATAAGCAAATGCAAATATAAAAGAGATTATCCAGGATCTAGGATTCAAGAAGTAAGAGCTTCGAGAACACAAAGATGGGATTAGAGCTCTAAAAAGTAAAATACAATAATTAAAAAGAAGCTAAAACAAAAGTAATCTAAAGCTTGGTGGTTTTTTCGTGGCTTTTAGCCTTTAAATACAAGAGGATTTAGGTTTAGGGTCAAAGACAAGTCAAGGGGGAAGCAACATTTTTCGGGTTTGACTTTGACTTCTCAGCTCGATCGAGTTGAAGCTTGGCCGGTCGAGTTGGCGAACTCGACCGGTTGGTCGAGTAG